CACCCACCACGTCCCCATCACCCACCGTGACCCATCACCCACCATGGGGGAAGACCGAGCGCACGCTGAGGCCCCCACAGTGGCAGCTCTCCTCCTCAGCACCCGCGGCGTCTCCATCACCCACCTTCGGTGAAGACCCGGTCCACGTTGAGGCCGTACGTGGCGCAGGTCTCGTAGTAGAGGCACCGCTTCATGTCACCGCAGAGCGCCTGGGCGCGGGCGTCCTCGATCACCCGCGGGTTGGAGGAGCTGATCTTGTCTGTGGGGCAGCGCGGGGGGTGAGGCGGGGGCCCCGGCGCCCCCGGCCCCGCCGCCGCCCCGCCGGCTCACCCTGCGTGCCCACCAGCGCCAGGGCCACGTCCCCGGGGGCTCGGTGGCCGCTGAGCAGCTCGTGCAGCTGCGTCACCTCCTCGAAGCTGCTCTCGTTCTCCAGGCTGAACACGAAGATGACGCCGTCCACCCAGTTGGCAAACTGGAGGTGGGGAGGACACGGGGATGTCACGGCTCGTGTCGCCGCGCACGGCCTCCTCCGYAGTCCCCACGTACCTTGGCATCTGGGGCGCCGCCTTCCTCTCGGATGAGCAGGAGGTGGCTTTGACCATCAACCAGCACCTCGCGCTTGAACTGCCCGCCTGGCGCCAGGGGAAGAGCCGGGGTGGCAGCGCGGCCCCACCGCGCCGTGGGGATGGGGCTGTGCCGTGGGGACGGATGGCCAGGGAGGAGCCCAGCCGCGTGGCCGTGCCTCACCCCATGGCCAAGTCCAGCYCCATGGCCACGTCCAGTCCCATGGTCATGTCCAGTCCCATGGTCATATGCAACCCTGTGGCCATACCCATACCCATTGCCAAAACCAACCCAACGGCCAGAGCCAACACATGGCCATGCCCAACCCAATGGCCATGGCCAACCCCAACGCCATGGCCATGGCCAGCGCTACGACTGTGCCCGAGCCCATGGTCGTGCCCGAGCCCATGGTCGTGCCCAAGCCCATGGCCAAACCCAACCCAACGGCCATACCCAACCCAACAGCCATACCCAACCCAACGGCAATGCCCAGCCCCACGGTCACGGCCAACCTCATGGCCATACCAAACCCCGTGGCCATGGCCACCCCAGGCACTCACTCTCCGTGGGCTCCAGGCCCACGTAGGAGCCAGTGAGGAAGCGGTGCACGAGGGCCGACTTCCCACTCTTGCTGCTGCCCAGGACACCCTGTGGAAGGACAGGGGTCGGCGTCGGGGCCCTCGGTGGCACTGGGACACAGGGGACCCCCGAGGCCACGGCACCCACCAGGCGGATCTCGGGGACGGAGCGACCCAGGGTCCATTCCTGGCTGTTCACCAAGGCCTCTGTGGGGAGGAGAGGGGTGAGAGGGAGCCCGGCGGGGAGGCTGCCGCCCCCGGCCCTGCCGGCAGCTCCGCCGGCGGCTCCCGGCGTGGGCGGCCATGGAGCCGTCACCAGGCAACGGCAGCCGGCACCGAGCCCGGCGGAGGCGGTGGGGAGGGCCGCGGGAACAGGCCCTGGTGGAGCCGTGACCGTGGCACCCTGGTGGGACCCCCCCAGCACGGCCACCCTGTGCTCCTGCACCCATGTGTAGAGCGCAGCAGGACGCGGCGGGTCCAGCGTCACAAGGTCGTGGTGTGCACAAGGGTCCCATGGGCACGACCATGTCGTGGGCACGAGGGCGCACTGTGCACAAGGCCGCGGTGGGCACGAGGATGCAATGGGCACGAGGATGCAATGGGCACGAGGACGCAATGGGCACGAGGACGTAACGGGCACGAGGATGCAATGGGCACGAGGACGCAATGGACATGAGGACGCAATGGGCATGAGGACGCAATGGGCACGAGGACGCAACGGGCACGAGGACGCAATGGGCACAAGGACGCAATGGACATGAGGACACAATGGGCACGAGGACACAATGGGCACAAGGACGCAATGGACATGAGGCCACAATGGGCACGAGGACGCAACGGGCACTAGGACACAGTGGGCAGGAGGACGCAGTGGGCGTGAGGACACAGTTGTCACAGAGGCCACGGTGTGCACCGGGWCACCGGAGCATGCGGGCACAAGGGCACGGTGTGGCCTGGGGCTGCCCCGTGGCCGGGGAGGACGTAGCACATGCCAGGAACCATTGGGCCACGCTCCCTTGCCACGGGCCTGGGCACCCCGAGCTGCCCCACGCGCCCAGCCCGTCACCGCAGCGTCTCACCAGGGAAACGGGGCCGGCGGGTGCCCCACGTCACGGCGCCCAGTTCCCCCACGTCACAGCCCCAGCGCAGCCCCGCGCCCACGGCAGCCAAGGGGTTAACGGCGGTGCCTGTCACCCCACGCGTCATCGCGGCGCTGTGCCACCCACGGGCCCCGCTGCCACCCACGGGCCCTCCCGGCAGCCTCTGCCCACGCGGCACCGCGGGGTGGGTGCTGGGGGGGCCCCCCAGCTTGGCCTGGGGGACACGGGGACAGGATGGATGGATGGACAGGCGGACGGGTGGGTGGCTGGATTAAGGGCAGATGGAGGGATGGGTGGATGGACAGGCAGAGGGATGCAGGATGGACGGAGGGGTGCATGGATGGGTGGGTGGGTGGATGGATGGATGGATGGATGGATGGATGGATGGATGGATGGCGAGGGAACAACTGGCCAGAAGAACAGGGGGACCCGGGTGGCTGGACAGAGGCACAGGAGGGCGAAGGGCTAAGCAGCCGCCCCTGTGCCCTGTACGTGGGCACAAGGCCGGCCGGCTGGCCAAGGGGACGCGGGGCTGGGAGAGCAGACGGAGGGATGGAAGGGGACACCGGCAGCTGCAGAGGGGACGGACACACAGCTGTCTGTCCGCTATGGGGCAGCCCCAGCTCCCAGCCCAGCCCGCTTTGCGAGCAGACCGAGGCCACAGGGCCACCAGGCCACTGGCCAAGCCATGGTCATGGCCATGGCCTGTAGAGTCCCCCCCCAGCAGGGGGAAACTGAGGCAGAGGGAGCCAGGGCTGCCCCCGCCAGGCGCCCACCCCCAGGCTGTTCCGTGGGTGCCAGCCCCACGGCTGGGAGTTACCACCCACGCATGCCCCTGCCACGGACGGGTCCTCTCTGCCCCTCAGCTTGCTACCAGCCCCACACAGGCCACTGCTCCACACCCGGTGGGCCCAGGCGTCCGGGAGCCCCCRTCGCTCTCCAGCATGACAGCCGCAAAAACACCCAGCCCGTCATGGGGGGAGGACCGGGGTGCAGCGCCAAGACACCCCACAGCACAGCGGGCCGTGGCGTCCGGGAGCCCCCCATGCCACACCCCCCCAAAACAGGGTCCCGGGTACTTACTGGGGGAGGCCCCGCGGGGCAGGTCGGTGCTGAGCAGCGCCCAGGGGGGCGCGGGGTGGGTGGGGGTGGACGCCGGGCTCTTGGCGAAGATGCCGCTGATGAACTTGAGCATCTTGCGGTCGCGGGTGGAGGCTCGGCCGCCCTCGCGGCCCCGCTTGAGCCCCGCGCCGCCCTCGCYGGGGGGCACAGCCGCCGTCAGCACCGCCGGCCCCGGGTGCAGGTCGCTGTTGTCCAGGGTTTTGCTTTTCCCCTTGCGAGGCGAGAGCCGGGCCCGGGCGGGGGGCCGGGGGCCCCCGTCGGTGCCGGTCTTGCCCCCGCCTTTCGCTCGCCCCTTGCCCTCGCCCTCGGGCCACGAGAGGCGGCTGCCGGGCCCCTTGTGGGCACCTTTGCCCGCCTTGGCCTCCGAGCCCATCTTGGCCCCGCTGGTGGTCACCGTCTTGAAGGGCTTGTTGGCCAAGCGGAGGCGCCGGGGGCCGGCRGACGGGTGAGGTGAGGATGCCCCGGGCGCGGGGTAGGGCGAGGGCTTGGTGGCTTCGGGGGCCACCTCGGCGCACGCCCAGGTCGCCTGGCTCAGCAGCGGCCGCCGGGCACCCGGTGCGCAGCCCTCGGCCGGGGGGCACTCGCGGGGCGCCTCCAAGGTGCCCTTGGCCCCCCGGGCACCCGGCGGGACGTGTTCGGCTTTGGGGGGCAGCAGCGCAGGGTCGGGCTTGGGGGGCACGGCCGG